AAAAAAAAAAAAAAAAATAAAAAAGAAATAGAATAAGAAAAAGAAAAAAAGAAATCAGGAAATGAGCACGTGCGGCGGCGATTTCACAATACTGGTAGCCCTCGTTTCGTGCCATGATCCACATCGACGAATTCGTCATTTTTCCAAACGCTTCCTGCTTCGCCAACCCTCCATACATTGTCCGCTGGGCTGGGCGCCAAGGAGCGCTCCGATCTCTTCCAATGACTGTCATCCTGCATGTCTAGGCATGGCACGTCCTGAACTCAGCCAAACGCTAAAAATCGGGTCCCCCAGCACGTTGGCCAATTCACTGTAGTCTGGTTAGGAATCACTTAAAAGGTCCCTGTCTCCTCCCACTCCGTAGATAATCGAACTCCATTGCCCTTCAGTATCGATCGTTTCTAGATCAGACCCTCGTCAGCAAATACGTCTGCATAGGGGTGCAATCAAAGCTTCCTCTCCCATGCCGGGCGAAAAGAACACTACCTCAGGGTCCGGGGACTCTCCCTTGAGTCAACCGGCCCATACTCTTCCCTATGATGTCGTGATTAGAGAACTCGGCTCCAGACTCGATGAGGGTTTGAGCTCGGACGAGGCAAAACAACGTCTGCACCAGTATGGCCCCAACAAGCTGGAAGAAGGCGAAGGCGTCTCCGTCATCAAAATCCTCATCCGCCAGGTCGCCAACGCAATGATGCTAGTTAAGGGACCCACTTTCCTTTGTCATGATCCCCCCTTCATTGTATAAGAGCTCCCAGAGTCTGATCCAATTCGTCGTTGTAGGTCCTGATTCTGGCCATGGCGGTCAGTTTCGGTATCCAGTCATGGATTGAGGGTGGCTTCATCTCCGCCGTGATCGTGTTGAACATCATCGTCGGCTTCTTCCAGGAGTATGCCGCCGAAAAGACCATGGAATCTTTGCATTCGCTGAGCTCACCCACCGGTACAGTCTCCCGAGACGGTCAGACCTTCTCGGTTCCCTCCGTGGAGATTGTTCCGGGTGATATGGTTGAATTGCGAACGGGTGATACAGTTCCGGCAGATCTCAGGTATGTCTTCCGTGTATATCATATGTCAGTTCAATCTCGGTTAACGGTGAATCCTATCAGATTGGTCGAAGCCGTGAACTTCGAGACGGATGAGGCCCTCCTCACGGGAGAGTCTCTCCCTGTCCAGAAAGAATATGACTCCACTTTCAAGGAGGACACTGGCCCCGGCGACCGTCTGAACATTGCGTATAGCTCCAGCACGGTCACTCGTGGCCGTGCCCGTGGTGTGGTGATCGGTACCGGTATGTCCACGGAAATTGGTTCTATTGCTGCCGCGCTGCGGGCCAGCAATAGTAAGAAGCGTCCGGTGAAGCGTGGCCCTAATGGGGAGACCAAGAAGCGCTGGTATGTCCAGGCGTGGACTCTGACTGGAACCGACGCTGTCGGCCGCTTTCTTGGTGTCAACGTTGGAACTCCGCTGCAGAGGAAGCTGTCAAAGCTGGCTATCATTCTATTCGGAGTCGCTGTGCTCTTCGCTATCGTTGTCATGGCTGCCAATCTCTTCAGTGACAACAACGAGGTCATTTTGTATGCGGTTGGAACCGGTCTGAGTATGATTCCGGCGTGCTTGGTGGTCGTTCTTACCATTACTATGGCTGTGGGTACGAAGCGCATGGTTGAACGGAACGTCATTGTTCGCAAGCTAGACTCTCTCGAGGCCCTGGGTGCCGTAACGGATATCTGTTCTGATAAGACGGGTACTTTGACTCAGGGTAAGATGGTTGTCAAAAAAGCGTGGATTCCCTCGAAAGGCACATACTCGGTTGGCACCTCCAACGAGCCCTTCAATCCCACCGTTGGCGATGTAACATTCACTCCGGTGTCTCCTGAGCACTTTGACGACGAAAAGGAGGGTGAACCGGCGGCGAAGCCCGAGGACCTCATCCCGGGGAACCGTCAGCTGGAGGACTTCCTGGACGTGGCATCCATGGCGAACTTGTCTCATGTCTATAAATCCGACGAAGGGGAGTGGCGCGCTCGTGGTGAACCAACCGAAATTGCCATTGAAGTATTTGCTTCGAGGTTCAACTGGAATCGCGACCGATGGACTAAGGGCGAAGGCGCTATGTGGCACCAGAATGCAGAGTTCCCATTTGATTCCACGATCAAGAAGATGTCTGTCATCTTCACCAAGGTTACTCCACAAGAGGAACGCTCCATGGTTTTCACCAAGGGCGCTGTCGAGCGCATCATCGATGCATGTACCACGATCATCTGGGACCAAGACTCGTCCACACCTGTGCCCATGACTGATAGCCACCGCAATTCGATTCTTCATAACATGGAAGAGCTCGCCAAACTCGGTCTCCGCGTGTTGGCCTTGGCTCACCGGCCGTACAAAGCAGAGAGCCGTCTGCTCGAAGATTCCGATATCAACCGTGAAGATGTCGAAAAGGACCTCTGCTTCCTGGGATTGATTGGTCTGTATGATCCTCCGCGCCCCGAAACGGCCGGTTCTATCGCAGCTTGCTACCGTGCCGGCATTGAAGTACACATGGTCACTGGAGACCACCCGGGAACCGCCAGAGCCATCGCACAGCAAGTGGGAATCCTCCCTGCGGATCTCAGCACGGTGGCAGCCGACGTGGCTGACGCCATGGTCATGACCGCCGGTCAATTTGATAAACTCACCGACGACCAAGTCGACGCTCTTCCCACCCTACCTCTAGTCATCGCACGCTGCGCGCCCCAGACCAAGGTCCGCATGATTGATGCCCTCCACCGCCGCGGACGCTTCGCTGCCATGACCGGCGACGGTGTCAACGATTCCCCATCGCTCAAGCACGCAGACGTCGGCATCGCCATGGGTCAAGCCGGATCCGACGTCGCCAAAGACGCCTCGGACATCATCCTCACTGACGACAACTTCGCATCCATCCTCAACGCCGTCGAAGAAGGCCGTCGCATCTTCGACAACATCCAAAAGTTCGTCCTCCACCTACTCTCCGAGAACATCGCCCAAGCCTGCACCCTCCTCATCGGCCTCGCCTTCCAAGACAAAGACGGCCAGTCCGTCTTCCCCCTGTCCCCCGTCGAAATCATCTGGATCATCATGATCACCTCCGGTATGCCCGACATGGGTCTCGGCATGGAAGTCGCCGCCCCGGACATCATGGACCGCCCACCGCAAAACAAAGCCGGCATCTTCACCTGGGAAGTGCTGATCGACATCCTCGTCTACGGGCTGTGGACCGCCGCGCTGTGTCTCGCAGCCTTCTCGATCCGCATGTGGGGATTCGGCGACGGCAACCTCGCACGCGGCTGCAACCGAGAATGGAGCGAAGAGTGCGATCTCGTCTTCCGCGCGCGCGCCACCACCTTCGTGTGCCTGACGTGGTTCGCGCTCTTCCTCGCCTGGGAGATGGTGAACATGCGACGCTCCTTCTTCCGCATGCAGCCCAAGTCCAAGCGCTACTTCACGCAATGGATGCACGACGTCTGGCGCAACCCGTTCCTCTTCTGGTCCATCATGGCCGGCTTCGTCACCACCTTCCCCATCCTGTACATCCCCGTCATCAACAAGGTCGTCTTCAAGCACACCGGCATCTCCTGGGAATGGGGCATCGTCTTCGTCGAAGCCATCCTGTTCTTCATGGGTGTCGAGCTCTGGAAGTGGGCCAAGCGCGTCTTCTTCCGTAGACGTGCTCGTGCAAACGGAACGCATTCTCTGTCCCAGGACAATGCCTCCCAGATGCCTTAACATTTGCTTTCCCTGGTCTCGCTTCCATTGCGGCCAGGGAACACTCCATCACTGGGTTTATGCGTGCGCTATATGGGTCTCGACTTATTGGTTTTGTGGATGCTTTTAGTAGTAGTGAGTTTGAAAAGGGGTGATTGGGGTTGTTGTTGTTGCTTTGTTTCTGTGTTTGTGTTTGTTTTTGCTTTCGCTTTGGCTTTTGTCTTTGTTTTTATTTTTGTTCTTGTTGTCATTTTAGGTTGTGCTTGTGGGAGCAGTGTATCTGTACCACTTGGGCTGAGCCTGGTAGATAGATTTGTAGGCGCAGTAGGTAGTTTAGGAAAAGAATGCCACTTCGTAACGGGTTCTGGGAGTCACGACTGTCTACTAGCCCCTCCCGGATGCGGTATTTGTTTACTGGATGATTTTATTCCCTCGTATATGCTTCCTTTACGTAAATAGGCCGTGCCATTGGTCGGTCTGTTAGTAGCTTGGAGTATAGTAGATTATCTATCTTTATATCTATGTCTCGTTTTCAGAACACTACACTGTATATAATAATCGCAATTGACCGAAATCGAGTTTAGATCTTCGCTGATGGCGGGCAAGTATAACGCCTAACCGAGGATTGGATGGCGATCGACATCGACCACTAAACAGGCCCTTCCGACGAACGGCCCGAGGTAAGGCAATTTAGAGCTGGGGAGTTGCCTGCAGAAGGGTTGGTTTTTGGTGAGATTTGTTAGTAATAAGGGTAACAAGATCATGGAAAAGCCAGGAGAGAACCCTTGGGACGCGGTAGCCTGCCTACGCGAGGCCGCTGAAGCAAAGAAAAGTAGCCCAGAATAATAGTTGATAGATATTGTATCAGTCTCACACGTTGGAGGTTCAGGGCAAATTCGCAGGCCGTCTGGGTTTCGGCCAGGGTGGAATATCTTGAAAGCCAGAGAGATCGGTCGTCACGATAGAGCTGGTCGTTCGTCATTTGATCCACAATAAAGGTTGAGGCTATGAGCCTGGCTCGGGATCTGTCCCTCGTCGTGGTTCTCGATCTCGCCGTCTTTGATCCAGCTGTCTTTCCTCGACCTACTCAGTGCAAGCATCCCGGGATGCTGCTTGGGTCGAGCCCATTGCTAAGCCATTGGCAATTAACTTGAGAGCCCGACAGCATAGCAACATCTGAAGCCAGGGTTCCAAGCATAGGGAAAACCCCATGTTGAGGATACATATACGGTGTCGGAACAGGGTTGGTGTCTATCGTAGTGGTGGTATTGAGATTACTATCAAGTTAGTGTAATGATCGAAATGCATGAGAAGGGAACCATACTCTAACCAAGGGAACGAATCGACTAAAACTTGATTCGTGTCTACCACTGGATCCGCTGCCAACACTGCCTGTTTAGCCACCTTCATCAAGTCCATACTGAGAACTTTTCCAACGGTGTATCCAGTATGTTCAATGTCATCTAAGCATCTGATGCCCTGCTCCACCACAGCGAATGTTTCATGTGCCTTTTCTGGTTCTGTTCCCAGGTTCAGTACGTCGTACAGTAATGTCATGATGGCGGAGACCATGTATGAAGCCAGCGCCCCGTCGTACCGGATATCGGGAAACCGCCGAAAATAGACGTCGTGAGCCAAAGTGATCAAATTGCGTGCTGCCGCCGTCGAGTTGTCGATGCATTCTTGCAGACGAATACAACCTGCAGCGATTCGCTGCGCTTCGCTCGTGGATGTGAAGAAGGTCGTTAAAACCAGGGCCGGTCGGTATAGAAGCATCCGCACAATATTGTAGGCGAATCCCAGGCTCAGACGCTGAATTTCTTGCCAGTCCTCGCCGACGGGTACGGACTCGTCGAAAAAATGCAAGTACTCTGGCAGACATCGGGTGGTAGCTTGTAAGGCTGCATCGTATTCCAGAAGAGTCTGTTCCACCTTGGCCATGTCTACAAGACTTTTGATACTAGCCGGAGAGTAAACGTCCACGGAGATGTGGTCGGCCAATTTGGCAATGTCGGCCATAACCCTTGTCCACGTGCATTCAACTGCTGGCGGGTGGAAAGGCCCATCCTGGTAGCATGGGATATCTTCGGGATATACGGTATCAATCTGGTTGTCGGACAACGAGGAAGGTCGGCCCATATACACAGACGATAACCGCTCGAAAACATACATAATCCAAAAGGTATGACGTAGTCGGTGCAAATGTGGTTCGCGACCGCCAGTCACTTGGGATCTATGGAGACCTAGGACCATGGCAGTTCGAGTAGCATGTCCCAGGTACAAATACGCATCGTTCTGCCGCATGAGTTGCAAGGAGTACATGGCCTAGGATGTCAATTATACATCCATACAAATGAAGGCTGGATCATGCGTACCTTCAATAACATCAAATTCACCGCCTTGACACTTGGCTCCTGCATGAAGATAGAGCCTTCGGATACTCGACTCGAAAAGTATTCGGCCCATTCATCCGCTCGGTTTTCTTGCTCACTTTTCTTCAGTCTGATCACACGAGCCCCTATGGCCAAGACCATGAATAGGATTTCTTGGTTCTTCACCGGCCGACCTCGTATCGGAGTTTCCCACATCTGCTTCCACGAATCAATAATCTCCGTATACACAAGCACCGGCATCTGCGGGTGGACGATTCTAAAGTATGCTTCAATAAATACATCGCCTAGAGCTTGAGGGAGGAATGCCTCCGCCGCCAACCGTGACCGGCGCAGGTCGCCATCGGCATCAGCCGTGAACATGAACCTCTCCACACCCCATTTCAGTAAGCCATCCGGGACCGGCCCCGTGCGATAGGTGAGTAGTGATTCCCGAGAGGGCGGTTTTTGAATTCGTTGATAGATTCTTTGCAGGAAGGCGCATCCAGACGACGGGCCTGAACATGATCAGCATTGATTCAGGTCTCCAAAATACATCAGCCACCCTCACCGTAGAATTGGAAATTTCCTGTCTCGGGATTGGAGACTCCAATGCCGGCCCTCAGCTCGTACTGCCGCTTGTAGTGGGCCGGATCGTCGACGAGGCGGATATTCGGACAATCTCCAGGCACTGCTGGGGACTGTGGAGCCGGTAATAACGTTGCTGGGGTCCGTGGCTGTTCTTTGGTTTGGCGACTTTTTCTGTTACGTATGCTGCCCGTCCGATAGACGCATCTTTGAGGATTTCGGGCGCAGGCGTTGCATGGTTGTTCGCCGTTGCACTTAATTTTTCGCGAACGGCAATGCTCGCAGGCTCGAGGTACACGCTCCCTTGGGGAAGGAGTCATTGTGAAAGAACATAGACCCACACCGGCTAATCGGTGTAATGTCTACAACGTGGAATGAAAGTGATATTTCTGTGCTTTCTAATCAAATGCCTTTGTATGCACATCGGGATATCATTAAGCCGATCCAGCACATATTTAGAAACTAGCATTCATTGGTCAGATGGAAAAAGCAAGAGTTTGGGTCTTGATATCGACCAGCCGATGACTTTTCTTTGATGGTATCTTGCCAAGAAACCACTAATTTCTAGGATTGATGTTAGTAAGCCAGGAAGACATGGGACAAAGAGAGTGACCATGGAACTCACCTGCGTTACTCAATTAGGACATAGTCTCTTGAGCCGAGGAAGATAAGTTAGTAGTTGGAAGTAGAAAAGGTGGAGATGAGTGCCGAGCGCTGGAAACCAAGCTTATGAACTGGTGGATTAGTAATCTCACCAAGTCCCGCCATGGATTTGTCATCCACTCTTTGTTCCACCAACAATATAGTTATACTTCGTGAATCTTACATATTGTTCCCTGGTCGCTCCTTGACCTCCAATGCCCCTCCTTTTCTCCGTTCTCCCCATGATTCTCACTAACTACACTCTACACACTCAAAATGCCCCAGAAAGCAGTTGTTTTCACGGCTCCTAAGCAGATATCCCTCGTGTCGGACCGCCCTCTACCTAAGCTTCGCGATGACTATATTTTGATTAAAACGGTCAGCGTAGCACTGAACCCCACCGATTGGAAACATGTTGAATTGGAGCTCGGGACCACTGGATGCCTCGTCGGATGTGACTACTCCGGGATTGTTGAGGAGGTAGGTAAGGACGTCAAGAAACCCTTCCGCAAAGGTGATCGAATCTGCGGTGTTACCCATGGCGCGAACGTTTTGGAGCTCGAAGACGGTGCCTTCGCTGAGTATATCGTTGCGAAAGGTGATCTTCAGATGCGCATACCCGACTCGCTGAGCTTCCAAGAGGCAGCCACCTTGGGCGTCGGCATCACCACGGTTGGGCAAGGGCTCTACCAAAGTCTGAAGTTAGCCTTGCCAACTGAGCCTATCTCCCAGCCGGAGCCGATTTTGATTTACGGCGGCTCTACTGCCACCGGCTCTCTGGCTATTCAGTATGCCAAGCTTTCGGGCTACAATGTCATTACTACCTGCTCGCCTCACAACTTCGACTTTGTTAAGAAGCTAGGTGCAGATGCTGTATATGACTACCGGGATCCCAAGGCCGCTGCGGCTATCCGTGAGGCTACCAACGATAATCTGAGACTGGTCTTTGACACTATCTCTCTGGAGGACAGTGCGAAGTTCTGCGACAAAGCTCTTTCAACCAAGGGTGGCGAGTACAGCAATATACTGAATAGCAAAATCGAGCGTGAGAATGTCAACGATCGCGCTACCCTGGGCTACACCGTTGTTGGAGAGCCAATCCAGTTCGGCGATCTCGAAATTCCTGCGATACCCGAAGACAGAGAATTCGCCGAGATGTTCTGGAAACTCTCCGAGCCCTTGGTTGCACAGGGGAAGATCAAGGTGCACCCGGTTAAGGTTTGCGCCGATGGTTTGAGCGGTGTGCTGCAGGGGTTGGAATTGCTGAAGGAGGACAAGGTTAGTGGGCAGAAGCTGGTGTATAACGTGGCTGAAACTCCTTGATTTTGGATATGGCCAGCTCTTTCCTTGGGGTCCGAGACTCTGCAATTGCTACCGTTTATCTCGATAATGTTAACGAAATAGTCATCATGACACAGAGACATTAGCTAATCTCTCTACATCAATTGAATATTGTAATTCACATACCTCCTGGCAATATACAAGCGTCGTGCATTTTACTAAAAGTGAAGTTATACAGTCATTCCCAACAATGTGGGCAGTTGCAGGATAAAACAGTGACGGACGCTATCATACGATGAATGCTAGAAACATTCCAGAGAATGTTTGACCTATCTTCACAACCCGAGCATAATATGACTACGTCGTCATTTCTTTGTTCCTTGAAGTCCTCTGTGAAGCTCTGAGGTTCTTTGTATGAGCTTGTCTATAAAAAGGCCCTCGTCTTCCTAACAATCGCGTCTGGACTATCATTATAGTCAGTCATTCACTACTATATCTAATTAACTGGCTCCATCTTTCCGCTCGCTTAGTATATATACCTGCCCTGGATCATACTTCATACCACATCTACCATCAGCCAATCTATAAACGCAAGTCTGCATCGGCAGAAGACATATGTTATATTTCTATCCCACTACTGAAGCATCATGGCGTTATAGGGTCATATCTACTTTTCGACTGAGGCGTAGTCTTCAAGCCATCGGTCTTGTCAACCTCACCTTGTTTATATTGGTGTATCATGCGTCCACCCTCAAAGATGCCCCGTGAAATCGCAGAGGCCAAACAGATGGTTCACATGGACTTGCCCGGCCTTACTACTAGGGCAAACAAAACGAAATCTCATGTATTGCATGATGCAGCCTTCATTTTCAGAGCTCAATTCTTTCCAGAATATATATACTTCCACAGGATGTGGAGGGGAGAAAACTGCAGTACTCCTGGCTCAATGATGGCGAGCTAAAAACCTCGGCGAACGAATTCGAACGCATAATGAACCTCATCAACGCAATCGACCCCCAGTCCAGTGGAGCGCCGTGTCCTCTTGCCAACGTTCGTGCGCCTAGCTCGCTTCTGCACTGTATTGAGCAGCGCAGATCCTACGAATACACAAGCCGGCTGCTGTTGAGAAGGGCGTGGATCTGGGTGTCCCTTGACGCACGCTCATCAGCCATAGTGGATAGTCTAGAGACTAGACAACGTGGTATTTATGACATCCTGACTACACATTATGTTGGATGGTAACATCTCATATCATAATGTTTGTTTCAAGTGTGGTGGATGATATGGCTACAGAGACAGATAAGTCCTCACCACTCGTCTAGGAAAGTCAGCGCCTTGCGCTCGAGACACAGCGGGCGATGAATGAATATCAGCAGTCAGGGCCGATCAGTAGTCGCTGGGCCTCAAATGTTGCCGTTCATAGTCGTATCTTCAGGTTCGGGCTTGGGACTCACCCGGATGATCGTGCACCATACTGCCCCTACTGGGGTGACGGCTTGCTACTATCTGTGGAGAGACACTACGCCCTCTCTTTCGCCTTCCAATAAACTCCAAACTCGATCACTTAGGTCCGCGTGTCGCGTTTGTTTACCTTTTCGCTTCCAGCTGCCAACTTTCGACATGTATGATCATCATCAAGGCTAAGTACGTAGCCTCAACTATCGAGCTCGGTTTCCGGACAGGCGCCACGGCCTCGACGCGCCCTGTCGATCCTTTTGACCACAAGCACGCCAAGCAGTCTCTTGAACCAGTACATACTGATTCAAAATATCAAACAATGGGCACAATACGTAAGGCTTCATTGACAATGTTAAGCCATAAGTGTCACAGGCCGTTATGTTGGTCCCAGGTTTTGTGAGAATTGCAGAATCCTCCTTTGCATCCACCAAACACAGCTTGCCACTCTGTATTGACAATACAGACGATTTCTCCACAGTACCTACACAGTCTTGACGTCTGGTACTGCCTCTTCACTGTGGTCCCTGGAAGGCCTGGCTGGGTAGAGCTTTCTCTACAATAGTCTCTTGATCCCCCTTTCCTTTGGAAGAATTTGATATTGAAGAGGGTTTAGAGAGACTGCCCATGCCAGATACTGTTGGTATGCTGTAAAAGAGGATCTGTGCTCGCCTGCGAGCTACTGGCTGAACAATACCTGATAATCCTTGTTACTAGAGAACGCTTATTCCGCACTTGCGATAAGTGACTTTGACACCGACAGTGAGCCGAGATCACGATTTATTGTGATGATCATGTTAATAAGTGTGACGTGTCATTTCGCCGCCGAACCGAAACTCTTGCCCTCTTTCTTTAGATTGATTGGGCGAAAAGAGTTCAGCCGTTCCTCCCCTGTTTACTCTGCTCCCAAAGCGCTTGGGCATACATGCGATAGCGAAGTCAAGGCCATTATTGAGCAGTTTCCAAACGTACATCCAAAGCATCCAATCTGTTTGACTTGGACTTTTCATCCGTCGAAGTCAGCAATGCTATCTCACTTGCGAACTCTATATACGATTGATTCGAATAAAAGGCTCAATCGTCTCGCTGACGAACAGTTAGTTGCTGGGCTGTGTTGAGGCTGACCACCGGGGCCCTCACCTGGTAGTGGCGTGGGGTCTGGGGACATGGTGATGGGCAAGCTGTATTTACATCAATAACTGGACAGGAGATCCTGTGGTCGTCGGTGGACTACAGTTGCTTTTCGTCAGAGGTTTGGATAAGCCCCTGTCTTTCCTCAGCAAGACAACGGCACTCGGTATAGAGTTTCCATCTCACAGATACACGGAAGAGGTCACTCACAGAATCAAGTCATGGGATGAAAGGACCTCGCAGCCCGTAGCAAGGGGCAGTGTCTATCGCGGCCTTCGTCTGATTCCCGCCATGCCAGTGGACAATGAGCACTATATAGTAGCCACAGAAGCTGGAGTGGCCGCCCGAACTATCAGCCAAATGCTTGACCCGCTATGCCGACTCTTCTGCAGGTACATATCTGGCATTATTCAGGGCGCTAGAGCTGTGCAGCCTATCAACTACTTACCTAGAAGTTGACGACAAACATATCATCCGTTGCATCTCGGACCTGAACGGCAATACTATACAGTACACAACTGCAAGTGTGCACGCTTAATATCAATTCGAAGTCGCCTAAGAAAAGCATCAGAACATCGACGTATACAAGGAGCCCAAGGTATGCTCTATATATACTGACAATATCCAACGATTTTGTGTTGCCACAGCAAAGAAGGGTTTAAAGACCAGTGTTATCGAAACCGGTAGTCCTGCACAACTAGAGTTTCTTGGGCACGTTCAAAAGGTATTGCAGACCAAGATCGAAAGAGAAAGAACGTTCAGGGACTCTGGAAACTTCGCAAAGCAGGCGCCATTGAAATAACAAGAAAGATTCGCAAGACAATGGACTTGAATTTGCTACAAACGTCGACGCTTTTACTTTCCCTTCTCCAGAACCCGTGGACAATCATTAGGACATGGCCACAATTCGATTGAAGCGACGGTTAGAAGCCCAGCCCTTATCTGAACACCGGTCCGGCAACTCCCTCAAGCTCCATGAATACCTGGAATCTGGGAATCTATACACGGCTCCACTAAGATACAGTTTACGTACAGGTTTCTATATTATACTGTCTACATCGGAATCTTTCAAATACCCCATCGTCGCCAATTTCAGCTACGGATCCAAACTATTACAAAGGATCCCCATATATTACTATATTCCTTTCTTTCAGGCCCTGAGCTGCTTGTGCAGCTGTGGACAATACTTCCAGCAAGTGACACCCCATATAACTTCGTGGGCCACTTGCGAAAGTCTCGAGAACCCTACGGCATAATGGCTATGCCTCAAGTTAATTTAAAAGACATGGTATCTATTGCTACAGACTGCCGTTCGTGGCGAAGTCAGAAGGAACGCATTATAGCCGCACCGGTACCCTTTTTTCCACTGCTGGAAGATCAATGGTAATCAAGTATCAATTATATCCAAAAGAGATGATTCTTAAGTTTTATTCCTATGACTTGGGCTGGAGCTCAAAGGCCTGCCCGCCTTTGTTGCAGTCGGGCTCTTGATTTTGATAACGCGATAACTTGGTTGAACACTTGTTCTAGAAGATAGGTACAAAGCTTATACTATCGGTAGGATTTCAACGAATATGCGCTCGATTAAAAGCTATGATGCCTATAGTCTAGCTTATACAAGCAATCCCAGCTCAGTTTTTCCATGGAGCAAATCCATGCGCACTGACATTAAGTGGGTTGTGAAGGAGGACAAAGGCTTTGGAATGGCACTAAAACAAAACGAATGGGGAAAACACTGGAATGAGTAACTTCCTTAGAGCGGCTAGCCATGCGAAATGTTCTTGCGGCCCATTGCGGCCACGGCCCGCTGTCTTGGGCCAAAATATATCTCGCTGAAGCATGTTTTGCAGAGGGAATTTGAATTGATCGATACCAGACGCAGCCAGCTCGGGCCCAAAGCCCTGTTCACATACTTTCCCGATATTGAAACTTTCACCATCAAAGTCCCTTCCCCCCTGGACAGGCTGGCAACCCTATCTGGCCGAGAGCGGCGGTTAATCCGCGAGCCAGGTCTGTCCGCTGGTGGGGATATAACCAGCCAGCGTACGACCTGATTATCTTCTGGATAAGTATGGGCGAGAAACCAAGGTCACTATGGAAGAACATCGACGACGACCTATTTGTACTCAACCCGTATAAACAAAATGGACAACAGGCTTTGCGGCACAGATACTGAAAATACTCGGCATGAAACCCGCGGGGAACATCGACCAGTGAGGAAGACTAATCTTTAGGAAGAACCAGAATGGAAATACATTTTCTTTTGAACCTTTTATATCCCGAATCAGTATTGCATCCCACCATGTCTGGGTGCAATGATTTCGCTCACGCAGACTGCACACAAGCTGTGTAGTCGTGGAAGTGGGCTATTCGGAATCGTATCCACATCTCTTACAGAAGAAAAGTTTGTGGATTCAAGAGTCTACCCAAGTGAACGTGGTTATTCTTGTAAAATGGAACAAAGGGCCAAATCATCAGGTATCAGGATACATCGAGCTGTATCGTCACGGTGCACCCAGCTCGCCTTCTTAGTACTAATCAATCACAATATAGCAATATAGCGTGCTTATAAGTGGAGTATCCGCTTAAGGGTATTCACCATTCGGTACCTCAATCCCTACTCAAATATGCTGGCATAGTTGTCTGTCTGGGTGAGCACGACGAGTTCGGTTTCTGTGAGACCCTTTGATTCGCAAAGTCGTCCGCAAGGTAGGTTTTTATACCCTCAGGATCGCAGCCCGCCAGCAGTACATTGACATCCAAAGAGCCGGAGAACGTATGGAAGGTTCGGGGGAGCTTGCAACATTGATCCTGAGGAAGTCAATCGTACACTGCTCCTGGCCACAATAAATGGACTGCATGCATTGGTTCAAGGGAAGCGAAAGTCTGAGAAAAGCAATGAATAGAAAATATCGAGAGGTCTGCATTCGCAGAGACAATAGTAATGTCTGCGATACGAAAAGGACACCGCTGAGGACGAAGATCATGGTATGTGTTACGCTTCAGTCGAACGTAAGCTTGACCATATATCGATGATTTCGTGTTGTAAATGATATGTGCATTCCCCATTCATGCAAATCCATATATACACATGCTGTCATTCAACCGTGAACCTAATATAACATCCATAATGATCTAAACATTAAACCAGCATCAGCACATACACCACCAACACCATCTAACCCATGCACCAAACAAATGCAATAAACCATACCTCATAAAACTCCATCTATTCATACATAAAAAAAAAAAAAAAAAAAAAAGGCAATCACCAATCAAAACTCCCAGGCATAGTACACCTCCCTCCCCCGGTAAGCCCACCCTCCCCATCCTTGCGATCCTCCTCCTTCTTCTCCACAGCACCCTCCCCCCAACGCTCCCTCCAGCACGCCAATTCCTCTCTCCACAGATCAGTCACGCACGGATCACACGAGCTCCCACAGCACTCGCCCAGCCCCGGCGGCGGCGGCGGATCATCATGGCCGCGGTCCGCAGCGCGGATGAGCTGCTTGGTGCGCGTGCCCGTCAGTCTCTTTGCCTTCTTGATCCGTGGCACTTCTGCGGGCTTGTAGAGGGGTTCTGGGGCTGGCGTGGGGAGAGAGGATATGGGGGATGTGAAGGAGGCGATTAGGTGGGCTGTGAAGCTTTTTTGGGGGGGTTCTTGCTGCGGTTGGTTTGTTGTTGTTGTGGTTGTCATTTTGAGATCTGGGTATTGGTTTGGGTTTGGGGTAGTTTGACAGTGTTTGCGTACTTTACTGTTCTGGCGGTTTGGGGGTTATAGATGTCTAGATGTCTGGATGTCTACTGGATGCGGATGCCGAGGATTCTCGTGCAGGGAAGAATTATATCCCGCTTTATTTTCGTGCCGAATATAATCATTATAATAGGGTCGGGGAGTTAGTTTGGACATTGTTACAAAAGAGTGGTGGGATGTCGTTTTGGACGGTGAATATATCGTCCCTCCTAGTCGCTAGAGAATTATCTCCAATGGACCGGTATTCTGATCTTTCCAAACGGAGAAATGGAAGTAGGGTTCAACCTGCGGACTTTGTTGTAGAAGGAATCCCGAGCTTGTCACATGAGGACGGCCTCGCCCGATACCGGTCACGTGGTCGGCCCTCTCCAGAACCCCCAAAGGACACGACATCCAAGGGGGAAAAAAACCAGAAGAAAAGCTAATTGGGGTTCTAGATACCATACATGAATCACCAGTCTCAGCAAACCCCTTACCGCACTTGTTGCGGTGCGAGAGACAAAAGCTCAAGAAATGAAAGCGATCATCACAGGGATCGAAGAAGCGACGAGTGGACCTGCGTCAATGGGCAAAGTATCATGGGACAAGGACCAGAGCCCCTTGGCGCAGCTCTAGTCCGTCATTAGCTCCTGCGCTTCTACCGAGGATCTTGGAGCTATCACGGACATGGTCTGAGCTGTCAGGGCCAACCATTGTTGGGTGGTAGCCGCGAAAGGAAGAAAAAAAAAAATTTCTTCATGCATGAATGAATGCAATGGTGTGCTGCAGGTGGCTTTTCGTGTGACTTTTATTATGACTCTTGGAAAAACAATCAAAAGTAAAAAAATTTTCATCAACACCTGGGACCTTCTTTTTGGCCAGCGCCCAATTCTGGTCCGCGGCAATCGTTGGTGGTGAGCGGTGACGTTCACGATCCGGATCGAAATCCACAACGGCACAACCAGTTGTCAAACCCTTTGCAATCTCTGAGGCTGATGTTTCAGTGAGGTCAGGTCAGGTCTTGCCGGGTTGTGTCTACGCCCTGGCGTGGAGGCGGTGTTTCATAATCATTCTACAACCTGGCTTGTTTTTGAGTTCGTTCTTGGTTTCTTTGTTCGTCTGCCTTGGTGGTCTCACATTCTTGTCGTCTGATATGGCTGATGGAACCGGGTCAAGGGCAATTGCCCCTGCCACCGCCAGTTATGGCCAACGTGGCCGGGGAAGCTTCTTTCCCGTTATCCACTGGGAAATGGCCTCTGTGAGCGGTGTACCTGTAAACGATCTCTACGGCTGGAGGAGCTCACCAAGCAAAGCTTTCTCCAGATTTGGTAGCTTCTTAGCTCGAATAGCTTGTTCGTAGGGAAGGAAAAAAGCCACGGGACCGATTGCTGCTTGTGGGAAGGTAGGGACCAGTCAGTCCCCAATTGCCGTCTGTCTCTTTTCGTTGACACAACGCGTTCGGGACGAAAAAGTCCGGGGTAAACAAGAGAACACGTATTCCGTGGGCCAGCCCAAGTAGAGCAAAAACAGATAATATACAAGGTCGAAATTAAAACGAGTTTATCAGAGTGGCTCGAAAGTTGGGAGTTTTAGTGGCCATTTTAAACTCTATATGTACAGTGTATTGGGATGATAGATGATGCCGGGAAAGTAGTACATGATATATAAAAAGACCACCACAAGATTACCTCCTAACTGAACGGCGAAATCGATAAAGACTTTCCATTCAATTTGACCATTTGAGAATTCAAGGAAATTGCATTTGCCTCATATGCCCTTTCGGATAGACTGGTTGTTGCCAACGATCCGTTTAAACGTACTTGCACATCATAGCAACCATCAGGTCGAACAGACCAATGGCTTCGACGAAGGCGAAACCAAGAATGGCGTAGGAGAAGAGCTGGCCACGGAGGGCAGGGTTGCGGGAGACACCGAGGAGGAGGGCACCGAAGACGAGACCGATACCGATACCGGCACCACCAAGACCAATGGCGGCGGAACCCATACCCATGTTCTGGGAGACCTGGACCATGGCGTCGGCGATCTCAGAGGAGTACTGGCGGCGGGCCTGGACGTTGGCGAAGACCTGGCGAGCGTTGGCCTGGATCATGGAAGGCTGCTGGCGCTTGACGGTCTGGAAGGGGGTCATGGGGATAGCGGTCTTGCGCTGGGTGGTGAAGGTACGCTTGGGGGCAGCGAAACGGGCGGCCGGGCGGGCAACCTTGGTGGTTGCGGCCATCTGGGAGGCCAGGCGAGAGGCAAAGACACGAGAGGAGGCCATTGTGATGGTAATTTGGGATATGATTTTCTCTGGTGAGAGGAGAGAAGGTGGAAAAGAATGGGTAGACAGAACTTTTTAGGAGGGAAAAAAGCTGGAGAAGTTGACAACAGAGGCCTTCCGGGACATAAATACTCTCCCGCTAAATTTTCGCTCGTTTTCCCACACACCCGGCCCCCCGTCGGTCTTAGTGCGCTGTTGGGAAAAAGCCCTACTGCGTGTATATCCCTATCTTTCCACGCACATCCTTTGTTGCCCAGGGATGCCTCTGACTGATCGGGTTCGTTCGGGAGGGGGCCAAGGGAGGATTCCTGTGGTACAGCCAATTATTCCCGCTGCTGGGGTGGCCGCGCAGGTCCGCGGATGGAGCTGGATGTGCTGGTCGACGAGTCTCCGTTGCGATTGTGCGAAACGGGCATCCACTGGAAGCTCCATCCGGACCCATTGGTATCTTACGCCAATTGCCATGGCAATTCCTTTTTGGTTGACCCCATTTTTTTTTTTCTACCTGTCTGTCTTGTCCTACTGAGTACAAATACTCTACGATGTGTCCTATTCCCCATCCCCCAAGTAACAGTTGCCCGGCTACAAGGAAAAAAAAAAAAAAAAAAGGCAGGGCTACGGTATGCATCAGGAGGCCGAAAAAAAGGGAAGAGAAATTTCAGCCAGGGTGGATCCCTGCATTCACGGATGGGTCCGATGGACCGGTTCGGATCCACATGGCGCACCGCAATCAACCAATGTCGACCTGCAGCCGGCAAGCTAATTTCTGGTCTTTTTCTCGGACTCGAATCAACCGGGCCGAATCGGGCATGCGGCTCCACCAGCACCGGAGTTTCCCAAACAAAAATAAAAGTCATAACAAGTGAGGCGTCTCAGGAAAAAATTAAAAAAAAAAAAATGAAAGCAGGAATTTTGGCGACACTCATGGTTGACCCGAGGGAAGACAAAGCCAATGACTTCGGGTAGAAGGAAATTCGTCTGCAGTTGCTCGATTGTCACCCGGGTAGCAGTGGTTATATAAATGCAGGTCAACTGGCACCCAGCCCTTTTTTTTTCCCACGGAGAGCAAACTCGAACTTCCCGAACTAGGGAAACACTAGTCCGGATCTCTGAGGATAGGATGAGCTCACCGACTCTCCTATTGGGATCCATTCTCCCGTTTTAGGACAATCCGCCACGCTTGGTCGGTTCAGGGCAACCAGACAGGAATGCTGACGGCGGGCTCCTTTGCAACCACGCACTTCTCCCCAATCCCCATTTTTGCTCCTGGAGCACTCAGTTCCCTTCCGAGGGTAGTGTCCAGGTTATATAGGTTTGGATACATCAGAGAAATCCTTTCTGGGGAGAACCCGACTTGGACGAAAATGTCCCGTCGGTGGACGACCCGAAATTATTGTGCTCGTCAGCACTAATCCCAAAATTTAATCTCACCCTGGGATGCAGAGCCAAGAATGGAAAATCAAAAGTAATAATAATAAAATCAACCAAAAAAAAAAAAAGAATAACCCGACAGGTCTCATATAACTGCCTCCCCTTGATTTCTTTTTTATTTTTCTCTTTTTCCCTATCTTGACAATTGATCTGTCCACCCTATAAATACTTTTCCCAGAAACCCTGGATTCCATCCCTTTTCTCTCGTGGATGAATGGAAAAAATTATGTTAAGGGCGATCTCAGCCTCCCTGCACCATTACGTAACCTTGAATTAATCTATCTGGCATGCCGGAAGTAGCAGGGATCACAGCAGATGAACAGGTTCGAAGCTGCAGTCGAATCTTGGTCGAACTTAAGCTTGCGCTTAACGGTTGCAGGGAAGTTCCTGTGACTCGCCGAAATTTCCCGCGTTTCCTCCGATTTTCGGTCTTGCTCGCTGATGAGAATCCGATGACATGACACATGACACATAGCTCGTAGCTGGACTGCATGGTTTGACATGGATTGAATTCTCGATAGTCAGCGAGACTGAATGGAATTACCTAAGGCTTTTGCTGTACGCGGGACTGTATATTGGGAAAGGGACGACATCTTTCGAGGGTGATGGCAGGGCTAGCAATTCCCGTGATAGCCGCAGTTTGCCGTTGTCGCAGCCTGAGGCATCAGAGCCTCGTGTTTATTTGCCTCGGTTAGACAGCTTAGGACGAGGGAATCAGTTTGACGTTCATATCCAGTGGTAGACAGAATATGAGAGTAATTCAAGTAGCACTGTCGAGGTCAGTGTAATGTTTAGTGTGAACCACTATGCGGGATACAATTGAAGCGATAATGGCTCCTCGTGGTGGTCCAGATATCATCTCAAGAGCTCTGGGGTGAATATATATCTGGAGCCTACACTTGAGTAGATCCTCATACAATACTCCGTACATAACTCGGATACCGTACACTACTGAACCCACTAATCTTACAAGGACCATGACTTGCACAAAGCTACTGACTCAGAAGAACATTCTATATACTATCTCAACCAAATCAAAGCACGGTTGACATGAACGAGGCAAGCTTTTACCCCGGGGCAAGTTTCCACTTTTGCGATGCTATCTTTAGCGCTACTTAAATTACCCGTTTCGATTTACCCACCATTCCCGTTCCATCCGCTGCACTAGTCCTGATTGGGATCCGACGCGCTTGTAGTGACAACAGCATCAATATAACTATCATAGCTCCTGCAGTATTCGATATACGGCTTGTAGAAGGTATGTCAGATTGGAGTGGACTTTGTGGATGCTCTCTAGTCTGCACAAGGGTGGTCATGACGGCATTGGTATAATCGCTGTTGTGTACTGATTTTGCGATAGTCGTGAGAAACCACATTTTCTTATTCGGGGTACACTTTGATCTTATGGTGGAGATTGGGTGCTGTTTTAATCTGGAGTTTTAGGGTTCATAGTTGGTGATGGATGTATAGCCTGCGTTGCGTTGTCAATACTAGGGTACGCTGTAGTGTACTATAGCCAGACTCATGCAGTGTCCACCTCGCTCCCTCTCGGCGCTTTCGTTCCATACTCCAACACCACCCGCACATCCTTCCCTGGCTCCAAATGTAAAACCCATTTAACCTCTCCCTTCTTCTCCATAATGGCCTTTCCGTTTCCATGGCTCGCTTCCATATCCAGCTTCACTTCATTACCCTTGTCATGCAACCCCTTTGGCTCCAGGATCTCCACCTGCAGCTCCTTGTCCTCGCTCACCGGCACCTGATCCAATACCGTGATATCCGCCGCCACGCCCTTGGTATTCTTGATCCAACACGTGCGCCGGAACACAGCCCCGACCTGTCCGGTGAAAAACCCGGTGTTCAACCGTCGCACCGTTGGTTTACCATAGGTCACCAGGATCGAGGGATCCACGCCCAAGGAGACACTGAAGAAATCGCCCGGCGCACAGTTCGGGATCGTGGCCGTGCCCAGGAACGTTCCATCAACCGTCAAACCCACTCTGCCGCGCATAATCCGCAACGCCGAGGTGTTCTTGATCCGTGCGCGGTAAAACGCTTCTGCGCTGTGTTTCGGGACAATGATATGTGACAGGGTGACTGACTTCAGGTCCAGGTCGGCCAGCACATGGCGTCTGTTGTTGCTCGAGGGGATGAGCGTCCGCTGTCCGGGAAGATCGTAGGTCGTCGTGAGTCCGTAGTCTTGCTTGACTGATTCTTGGTGTTCGAGGGACGCCGAAGCTATGGTGTCGATGTCGTTGTCCGGCTCGTCTTCGCTACCCTCGTCGTCCTCATCTGCGTGGTCAGTGGGACCTGGCTCTTGGTTCTGAGTGGCTGCTGCTGCTGCTGCTACTGCTGCAGCAGTAGCTCTCCCAAAGACGGATCCCCCAGATGATCCGAAAAGACCTCCAGATGACGCCTGTTGGGTATGACCCGGTGCTTCTCCTGTATTGCTCGTTTGATTTGGTGCCGGGGGAGCTTGCCCTCCAAAAAGGCCCCCGGACGGGCCAGGTTGGTTCTGGTTTGGCGGCGACCCAAAAGCACTGACTGTAGATGATTGCGCCGCACCAAAGCCAGACCCCGCCGAGTTTTGGTTCTGAGCCAGCGGAGCTCCAAAAAGACCTGAAGACGCTGGTTGTCCGAATCCAAAACCCTTCTGAGGTTGTGCTGAAGCCATTCCAAACTGGCTGGTCCCCGAGGGACGAGTTCCAAATAGCCCACCCGTTTTCACAAGCTACATTTCCCATTAGATCATCAACTCATCCCTGACAAACTCGTACGTTATCAGGGTCAGCCACTTACAGATCGATTCGATTCACCACCCCTCAGAATCTTCTCCCAAGAAGGATGCTCCTGGTTCTCCCGAGTAGCATCCAACAACTTAATATGCCAAGGATGCAACGAGGGGATGCGCTGTTCCAGCCCAGAAAACGACGCCTGCGACGTCGACAGCGTCACCCGCGCATCCGTCCACGTCTCCGAGCTCGAGTTCCGAAACTCAGCGCGATACGCCATCCGCGCCGACGACGACGGCGTGTTAATGCGCAGCTCATAGCGCGAGCTCCAGCTCACGCCGGGCACCACATAGCTCAGACGCAGCACGACATCTACGGGCTCCAACACCTCCGCGACGGAACTGCGCCGACTCGACCCCGGCGTGAACCCAGCCTGGCTATCCAGATGCACCACCACCTGTCCCACCCGGGTCGTCCAGAACTTAAGCCTCTCCTCCCTCTTCAACCTCCGCTGCTCCGCCCTCTTCGCCCGCTCCCCAGCCCTCTTCTCCCTCTCCCTGCGCTCCTTCTTCGACGCAGCCTCCCTCGCCCTCTTCAACCGCCCCTCTACCTTCCCCCGCCTCTTCCCCAACTTCGCCAGCTCCCTCTCCCCCTCCCCAACCTGCACTTCAGCCCGGTACCACCGCTCATTCCCCTCCGTGCGCTGCCGCGTATACAGCGCCAGGAACCCCTCCAGCGCCTCCGCATCCGTACTCTCGGGCTTCATCTTCCGCGCATACCCATCCAGAATCTCCAGCACGGACAGCGCCATCGCGCGTTCGTTGATCGCCCGCGCAAGCCGCGCCTCCACGTCCGCGATCTCGTCCGCGAGAGCCTTTAGCTCAGGGTCATCGTCGTCATTGTCCGAGTCGGGGTCGGGTTCTACCGAGTCATCGGAATCTGATTCGGCGGGGTAGACGTCTTCGAATTTCTCCTGTCGGGGCACGATCGAGGTTTGGATGTCGGTGATTGTGGCGGATCCTGTGCCTTCGATTAGGAGGCTGTCGCTGTTCACTTGTGGGTCGAGGCCGGTGATTTTGAGGTCGTGTTGGCCTGGCTGTGTTTTTTTTTTTTTTTTTTTTTTTTTTTTTT